CACCAGTAAGACTGCAGCTAGAACTCGACAGCATGTTCCGACAAATTGAGGGGGACTAGGAAGCATTTAAACCTAAGCATGTAAACATTGAGGTTCGGGTTCTTCTTGTAAAGAAATGCCTATAGTTAAATGCTTCCTAGGGTTCCTAACAAATGAGACAAATTTGGTCGCCACCCTGGCCCTGAACGCTGCCACGGCAACTGCAGGAAGGTACTTTGTCGATTGTTGTGGGCTCTTGTCGTGATGAGAACTGCGACTCTTCTTTGCTTGCCACGACTGCCAAGTACTGTTAATTGTCCAACGCTGGCGCCGCAAGATCAACTTTCCCGTCCCGGGGCTCCTCGTAACCGGACTTGTTCACAAGCTGCCCAAACAACTGCAGAATTCTGGCGCCACCATCCTGGCAAGCAGAAGGAAGACTGGAGATTCACAAGCTGCGTGGGCTCCTTGCTGGGGATCCTTTGTATCAGGCTCTGCTTTGCTTTTGGGAACGTGAAGCTGCGAAATGACTTGTCTCCTCGTCTCTGCTTCTTAGAAGCTTGCGGGTGGAGGCCCCAAAGCAACAAAATCCTCGTCCTGCTCACACGGGCGTATGCCAAAAACATGGTCCCTTCTTCGAGAGGTAGTAGACAGTGGAGAAACAAATCCCCTTGTAATCAGCCCCTGTTTAATCCAGTTTTCTCCATCGCTTCATTCTTTTCTAGCGACGAGTAAGTAGTGTGAAGAGAATCGTGCTGGCGTTATATATATATATATTTCTATATGCATATTAGCCCGACATGCCGACACAGGGTCTCAGCGGTCCTCAGAGAGCGCGCTGCAAAAGTTCTGCGTCTTGAAGTGTGGGGGACAGCCTTCCATTTGAAGGACCTGGCACAAAGTGCTTCTAGAGTTACATGAGTTTACGTTTGCACGAGTACTCGGATACAGGGACGCATGTTTTGGACATAAAATTGTTCGCAGAACGGATTTTGCTCTGCTATCGCCTGAAAGTCCCCTTTTGAGCTAGTGGTAGGCTCTGCTCGAGACCGCACCTCCAGAGCCTGTCTGCTACATGCGTCCCAGCGGCTCTATTTAGAAGGCAACTTTACCGATTGCTTGCAGCATGCCTGTGAGAATGCAAGGCTTTTCTGGTGCGCCACTCCTTTTTTGCTACTCTTCCAATGGCATGTCCGCATTGACGCTGTGTGGAAGCAGAGTTGACAGGCATCAGGATTAGAATAGGCGACTAGTTTGTAGTCCTACGTTCGCTGTTGAGCACGCCAACTCCAACATACTTGTACATAAATATTTCAACTGCCGATGAAAAGAAATTCGTGCGTACACCCGCAACTTTGGCAAAGGTGTGTCGGCAGGGTGCTGCGTCAAGCGTCAAAGATCGACCTCCAGTAGAACATCTCACGGCGAGACTCCGTCAAGGCCAGACACCCATAGTTTTGCCCCCAGACCCTGTTTATGGCTATTTGCAGAGTAGATGGAATATGGGTTGTTCTCAAAATCATGGGCGCCTTTTACTTAGAGATTATATTACGGCACCTAATATCTCTAGGGGTACCATAATGGGGCCCGCAACTTTGGGAACTACCCATATGGCATTCCTGCCGAGACTCTGGAAGATGGACTAAAAACCGTACAAGGCCCGGACGGACTCGGTTAAGAGATTGAAGTGTCAGGTGGTCAATATATCATGATCCCTGTGTTCAGCATTCCATAAAGGGCTCTAAGCTTCCTTAGATGATAGGACTGATAACATACCATACTGACGGCGGGAGTTTCTAGCTGATGTTTGAGGAGAGTGGGGGAATGAATTCCTGCGACCATCACCAAGTGATCCCGGTATGTGCCCCAATGCTACGGTAGAAGGAGAAAATCGCGCATTACTTAGGATCCCCAATATACTGGACTTCCTCTTCAGAAGGCACAAGAGCTTGCTGCCAAGCCACTGCCTCTTGCTGATCTTCCTCGTTTCGCTCAGCTCTCAAAATTGATAAGATGGAAGGTTTTGGTTTAGGCTTTGGAAAGTGTTGGTGTAGGCTTTGGGGAACAAGAAGAAGAGTCCCCGCCCGCATGTGAGTTCTTCTTATTCAGCAGCTACCATGCGCAGGACAAGATAAGACCCTCTGTAGGACATCCCGGACACTTCAAAGGACGCCGCACTATAGGTTGCTCTTATCTAAGGCCCTTGTTGACATCTGTACAAATTCTGTGAGCACCCCGTTTAAGGTTAAGACAATCGTCATGTCAGTAGAAAGGATATGGGCGACTTTGCGTCTTTGACATGCAATCAACCTATCAGTCACACGTGGACCATCTGCTTACTGGGGTTAGTAGGAATAACGGGGTATAAAATCCCTCGAGAATACCGATACAACATGTTCCCACATTCCCTACTAAGAACCAGTAAAGTAGTACGAATTTTGCCGGTCCTTGGGGGCAACTTCTCTACAACAAGTATTCAAGTTCTTGCTACAAAAAGCTCAGGGAGAGACTTCCGGTATTATCCTGACTGAAGACCTATGGCAGGCAATGTGACCATAGCATTAATAAAGGGGGTGGCAAGAGCATTTTGTCGCTGGACCGGAGAAATCCCGTACAATCAAATTTGCTTTCTAACAAGTTTGGAGCCCAACAGGGTCTACTTAGGTCCAAATCGCAATAATAAAGGGGTGGCAATCATATATTGTTCCGGCCCGAAATATCCCGATTTTGTTAGATTTCCTTTTACTTGTACTACTGGTACTACGAGCTGCACTACCTAGCCTACCGCCACCACCCTGGTTTAGTATTGAGACCCCCCCCCTTCCATAAGCCCGCATCGCAAAACAAGTTCGGAGGGGGGGGGTGTTAATGTCACGGTAACATTACTTGGTATCCAGGGGAGCCACCCTGTAGAGCAAATTACTGAATGTACGAGTATCCGCAGTGCACAATCCTTATATACACCCCAACATATACCCTATCATAAGGCAGCATTTTCCATCTTAATTTTCCATTATCCCACTCTACCCCTGATATAAACCAAAGGACATGTGCTCCTATGGGACTGGGGTTCTTCCTTACGGATTTGCTAGCAAGGCGCTGCCGCCGGCGATGTTGGCGTGGGCACAGCGTGTGCTGCCGGCGCGGCGGGTGCCGGGGCCCGCTGCGGCTGCGGTGCTGCTGTGGGGAGGCTGCGTCTGGCAGTCTTTGAATTTGAATAGCGTTGAGTTGAGGGTTGGTATAGCTGCAGTGGTTCTCGTAGAAGCAGTAATAGGAAGATCATAGTGTTGAAAACCCTGAAACCACAATAAGATACAGCAAGAAGTAATGCTACGTGTAGGGGTTGCACAGAAGGCGACGCCTTGCCATCATGGATTGGGTCAGCCCTTCTTCCGTGCCCTCCCTGCATTCCAAGAGCCCTAGACTTTTGGCCCTGAACTGAACCCAGCAACTTAAATCCTCCCCAAACACTGAACCCTGAACCCTGAATCCGCAGCTGAAAGCCTGGGAGAAGCGCTGGCAGAAGCTGGGGGCAAATCCTTAGTGTTCCATGTGTTCAACTCTGACCGGGCTATACGTGGGTTACAACTACAGTTACTGAGGTCCAAAAGGCACACATCTGGGCATGTAGCTAGCAGTTCTAACTTGGTTCTGCCTACCCATAATTCGAAATCCGTTGTCTCTAGGTACCGTATGTGAAGCGCACATGTTCGAACTTGTTTGTCAGAAAAAAGGAATCATAGAGCTCTGCCTACCTAGACCCTCCTCCTAC